GCAGGGAAGGGAGTGACTCTGCGTCTACAGGGCCGACTGCACCGGGCAGGGGGTACTACAAGCACTTGCATGCACCCTGTCAGAGCTGACCCGGGGAAGGAACTCTGGAGTCACCCCTGGGGGGACAGCACCCCCTGCTGGTCGTTTGAGGCGCTGCGCCCGAACCCGTGGGAGCCAAGGAGAGACGCCTCCTCTCTGGTCTCTCACAGGACTGGGCTCTGGGCCAGACACTGGAACGTGGGCGCCCCCGCCACCCTGCTGTCTTTAGTCCCCCTCCCTCCCCTAGTGCCTGAAGCTTTAAAATTACCTGCGCCCGCCCTTCGGGCAGTGCCCCCTTGTGGCCGTGATAAGTAGGAGGCAACCAAGCCAGGTTAGAATTTGCACTTCGGAGGCCCTGAATTGGATGTGAGCGACAGGGCGCCTGCTCTCCGTATGATGTTTCATAGAATACTGAAAGTGCCATTGCTTTGAATGCCTTTGTATATTCAGGGGTAACGTAAGCTAAAAGTGGAGATGTTTGCCATGTGAGACTGTCAGGGAATGACTCCTTAAATAAGAATCCCCCACCTGCTGAAGGGACCTCAGGCAGCAGAAGGGGGCCACCCCAGGCCCACCTCTGAGAGGCTGTCCCCTCCTGTCCCTGCGACAGTGCAATGCCCCCTTCCCCTCAGCCCTTTGAATGGCACTTTACTGGAACCCCAGGTTATTCTCCTGGGAAAAGCTCAGAGCTGGCTGGAGCCACTGTCCCCAGAGGACCAGGAGATCTGTCCCCTAGTGTTTTCAGCCCAGTGTCCCAGCCAACTGGCCACCTCCTGTCAGCCCTCTCCACTACCAAGGGAGAGCAGGACTTTGGCACCCCTGCCACCCAAGGGCAGGCAGGTGATGGATGTCGTTGAGACCGCCCCTGGGGACACCTGCCCCTGCGGGAGAGTGTGGGGAGACTGGGGATCCAGGCTTCCTTCTGAGAGTTGTGCTTGGAGCTCCAGTCCCCAGGATGGCTCCAGGCACGTCACACACACCTGTCCACACGCGCGCACATGCGCGTTATATATAAAAGTCAGCCTAGGGAACATTCCATTGTTTTTGTAACTGCTCTTGACTCAGCCGCCTCTAGTGGATCCTTATCCCCGTGCCCTGTGGTCAACTTTGTGCCCGTCAGCCTGCCCCATAGCTTGCAGCAAGCTGTGTGTCGTATGTGGCCCTGTGTGCTGTGCCAACCCCGGTGCTGCCACTGGCAAGTGCATGTGAAAGGAATGTTGCACACTTAGCATTCTGGACTCGGGCTCTGTTGGGGTCAGCTCAGGCCTACCTGGAGGCAAAGTATATGCAAGTTGGGGTCTTCTCATCACAAAAGAAGCATTAGGAATGTTGTCTTTGGGGTCCCTGGTGCAGTCATTGGAAAGTTTGGGGGTTTCTGAGGCTCCGATCATCTCTGCTAGGGCTGCCACAGATGCGGGAAACCTGTTCTCGTGGGGCAGGTGCATGCAGCAGGAGGCTGTTGTGTCCTCCTCCACAGCCACTCTTGGGTCCCTTTCATCCCTGGGAAGTGAATGACTCCGTTCCTCCAAGCTAGGCAGCCAGCAGCTTTCCCGAGTGTGTGCCGTTCCCTTGGTGCCAGTGTAGATGCTAACTAACTTTAACCCTCAAGCCTTTATTCCCCCGCCTGTACCCCTGGGGGCCCCACCACAGGAAGGGCCGTGTCCAGGCACGTTCAGACAAAGTGGTGAGCAGGAGAGATGAGGGCCCCGCACCCGTATGTCACTGAAGTGCCCTGAAAAGCTCCAGTGTCCCCAGGGTTTGTCTGGGTAAATGACACTGAAAGTAGCAACAGCACATCCTTTTTTGTTTGTCGGTTCTCAGTGTAATTTAGCTCCTGTCAATTTGGCGTTTGCCAAAAAGCAATCGGGAGCTGCATTTCCTTTCAGGTATGCGGCATGGACTGAGGTGGAGTGCCTGGGAAGGACACTTGTCTCTTGCTTCTGTGCCACCCAGAAACGGGGCTCTGTGCCTCCTGCTGCTTGCCTTTTGAGGGACCACTAGAGCATAAAGCTTAAGCTGCTAATGGGGTCTGTGGAGAACTGCTTGGGTTGGGCCGGGTGGGGAAAGAAGGGAGGATGTGTGGTGCGCTGGGGGAAGCAGCTCCAGGTTGAAAGGTCAATAAGAAGCAGTGTGTGGAGGGCCTGGAATCCCACACTCAAAATCTGGATTCTAGTTGCTTCCAATGAGGAGCAGTGTTTCAAAATGTGGAAGAATTGGCCTATGAGTGAGGAGAGGAAGTCCCTGCATAGGACTGCATGGATTGACTGTGTAGCATCACACAGTGTGGTCAGCTATACCAATCTGATGTCCCGAGTGGCAGCCACCGCCGCATGACAAGGAGCTTCAGAATCCCGCCGGCTTTCCTTGCGACCTCCGCTCACCATGATGCCAGAGCTGGTTTCATCTTTTGCCAGCCCCAGTGCACCTGAGACTTCACCAGACTAGGGCCTCCGGGGCTCGCGGACAGCTGCTCTATCCTCACTCTGGAACACGTTCAAGGCCTCGCACCTTCCCAGCGGTCCCAGGGCCTCCCTGGTGTTCAAGAACATTCCCTTCAGTCCTCTCCACTGGCAGCTTTCCGGCCGGAAATGAAGGCCTGCTGCAGGTCTGGAGCTCCTAATGGTTTTGACCTTTCCTTTGATAGCTTTATGGCAATGTAATGGAAATATAACAGCCGGCATGCATGTAAGCCATGTAAGTGGCAGGTTCTGACCTGTACAGCCACCCCCACTATCGAGACAGTGAATATACCCATCACCTCCCAAAGTGGCCTCGTGTCCCCTTTCCCCACAACTGCTGCTCCACTTTCCATCACTACAGGTAAACTCGCATTTTCTAGAGCTCTGTGTAAGTGGGTTTGCCCAGCACACGTGTGGCTGCTTCTCCTCCAGAGAGTTCTTTTGCGGCTCTCTCTGGAGTTCTGTGTAGCAGTGCTGCTCTCTCTCCCCTCAGTAGTGGCCACAGTACCGCTGCACACCTGGTGATGGGCATCTGCATTGCTTCCGGGTGGGACCGTGACAAATAAAGCTGCTGTGAACATTTGTGTACACGTTTCAATGTGGCCATGTGTCTTCCTTTCTCTTGTGCACAGAGCTGGAATGGCATTTCTGGGTCAAAAGGTAGCACACTGCTTAACTCTTCTTTTTCTCTTGTGACAGGGTCCCGCTGGCCTTGCCCTCACGGTGATCCTCCTGCCTTCGCCCCCTGGGTGACACCTGGCTAAAGAGTGGCTGCCTCCCCATCGGGCAGTTGAGCCGGGTCTCCCGAGTGACAGGTGGGAATGCTCACCACCGCGCCAACAAGGACGACGGCCAAACCGTCTTCCAAAGCAGTTGCCCTGCTTTATGCTCTCGCCAGCAGTGTTTGAGCGTCCAGGTTCTCCAAGCCTCACTGACAGTTGTGGTTGGCTTTTCACTCCGCCATCCCAGTGTGGAATGGCAGCGTCTCCCTGGTGACTGATGGTGCTGAGCGTTTGGCCATGTGCTGTCTGCTGGGATGAAGTGTGTTCATTTATCCCCTGCCTGTTTTCCTTATAAACTTGGGATGAGTTTTAGGCACGAGTGCTTTGTCAGAGAGGGGCCTTTCCATCTTTATATAACAGCAGCATTTGATGAACAGAAGTTGTCTATCTTGATGAAGTCCATTTTGTGGACTTGGGATTTTTATAGGCTGTGCTTCGTGTGTCATAGCTAAGAAATCTTTACAAAACTCAAGTCACCAAGACTTTATTTATCTGGTGTTTTCTTACAGAAGCTTCGCTCTTACCTGTGGATCTGTGGCCCCTTTTGTGTATGCTGTGAGGTAGATCCAAAATTTGCTTTTGCGTAGCTAGGTCTCCCATGTGCCCAGCACATTGTCCCAAGCGGCCAGGCACCTTGCAGAGTCTCCGTGTGACTGCACAATGCCTGGTCAGTAAGTGCTCTGGACCGAATACCTGCGTCTCCCAAAGACGTGGGGAAGCCCTGGCCTGGGACAGCGCTAGGAGGCAGGGCCGCATCTGTGGTTTAAGTGGCCCCGGCTTGTGGTATTTTGTTATCGTAGCCCATGCTGACTGAGACAGCGTCTTGTCTTTGTAGCGATGCCACCTTTTTTGGTTCCGACAGTGTCAGGAGTCTGGAGACCAGGCAATAGGAGTTCTCTGTTGTTGCTTCATCCACGTTGTTTTATCTGTTCTCAGTCGATAGATTTGCACACAAGTTGGAGAATGAATACCCTTGTCTTTGGGAACTGCCTTGTTGCTAGGACACAATACTTGACACCCACAAATCAAAGGAAAGGTTGGTTTGGGCTCACAGTTGGCAGAATCCACAGGTCAGCGGCTCCACGGCAGGGTGGTGTGGCAGAGGGGCATCACGGAAGAAAGCTGCTTGCGTCATGGTGAAGGAGGCAGATGGCTCAAGGGAGGAGCTGGGGAGGGAGACACAAACCTCTGGGTCACACCCCCCGGGACCCCCTTTCCGGCCAAGCTCCACCTCCTCACAGCAAGTCTGAAGTCACCACCCCTCTATGACAGCATGGGCCTTTGGGGGTAGAAAAGCCCTCTGAGCTTGTGGCTGGTCTTGTGTCAGATCTAAAATCATTTGGAGGTGCGCTGCTTTGGAACCCGTCACCATGGCAGGTCCCCTCATGTTGCGGGCAGTGCCCGATCTCTTATGTGTATTGTCACACTTGTCCCTACATGTGCTTATTGATTTTGAGTTTATAACTTCAACCATCCTTAGGGACCCTGCATCCTCGTTTGTCATTCAGTCTCGTTTGTCATTCAGTCGCGAGGGTGCCCGGACACCACGAGTACTGCAAAGGTGACTTTGTCGGCAAATGGCAGCCTTGCAAATGCAGAGTTGAGATGTAGTCCCAGTGCAGCAGAGTGAGCCCTTAGCCTCATCTGACTGGTGTCTTTTCAAAGCAAGAAGAGCCGGGCATGGTGTTGCACCCGTCATTCCAGCATTTGTGAGGCTGAGGCAGGAGGATCGCCACAAGTTCAAAGCCAGCCTGAACTACAAAGCAAGACTTTGTCAAAAAAAAAAAAAGAAAAGAAAGAAAGGAAAGAGAGAAAAGAAAAGAAAGAGGAGAATGCCATGTGAAGCACAGAGACAGAAAAACAGCTGTGAACTCAGATGCGGGAATTGGAGGGACACAGGGATCTGCGCACGTGCCAGAGGGTCCTCCCTAGGTCACTGGACAGAAGTGGTCCTGCGGGTTCCTGGTCCCTCCCCTTGGCAGAGCACTTCACACACCAGCTCCTCCCCTCACCTTTGTTTATGGGTGAGGAAACAGGCTCAGCAGTGGGCAGGAATTGCCTTCCCCTGCAACTGGAAAGCAACAGCAAATCCATGCCCAGGTTGGCTCCAGCACAGGAATTCTTGCCCCTCTGACCGCCTGAGCGAGGCTCGCCGGAACCCAGTCGGTTTCCCCGGTGTCCTAACTGCCCATTTGAGAATGGCTCTGAAAGGAGGCAGGGAGGCCAAGTGGCTGGAAAACGACATACTGCGAGGGAAAAGAAAGCAGGGGAGCGGTGTGTAGGAACGGAGGGGCTCCCTGGCACGGGCCTGGCCAACACAAAGGCAGGGGGTAGCATCACAAACCACCCAAGCGGGGCAGGAGATTTTGCTCAAAACAACAGAAACTTAGTCTCTCATCGTTCCAGAGGCTGAAAGTCCAAGTTCCAGGTGTGGGCAGCTGCACTCTTTCCAAAGTCTCCACGTGAGATTCTTTCCTTACCTCTTCCAGCATCTGGTCGCCAGAACGACCCTCTTGTCCCTTTCTCCTTGGGGTCTCTTTTAAAGGCATTTGTCATTGGACGTGGACTCACCTGGAAAACCCAGACTCATCCCAAGCTCTTTCTCGTAATTCGATCTGCAAAATCCTTTCTCCATGAGGGCGCAGTCATGGGGCCCAGGGATCCCGACATGGATTGATTCAGGGGTTCCCATTCAGCTGTCACTGGATGGGATCTGAGGAGGTCCCCAAAGAAGAGGAAAAGACTTTCAGGGCGTACCTGGGAGAGGCGCGGGACAGATGTACCTGGCAGAAAGAAGTGCACCTCAGAGGGGACTGTGAGGCCACTACACAGGAGAAAGGCATGGGCCAGCCTATTCCATTTGTGCTGGGTTTTTCTTTTTGGGTTGGTTTGGTAGAGAGTTGTTTCTTTGTTTCTTTGCTTGTATTTTGTGGTACTGAGGCTTGAACCCAGGGCCTGTGCACTGAGCCACATCCCAAGCCTTTTTTTTTTTTTTTTAATTTTGAGACAGTCTGGCTGAATTTCCCAGGCTGGGTTCAAATTTGCAATCTTCCTGTCTCAGCCTCCCAGAGTGCTGGGATTATAGGTGTGTACCACCACACCTGGCTCTATTTTTTTTTTAATTTAGGAATTTAGGAGTGAGGAGCCTCGGAGGGAAAAGTAATTTGCGATTTGGGTAATTTTGATGGTGTCCTGAAGCTACAAGATTTTTTTTAAGTACAATCTTAAAATTATAATTTTTCCCTTGTCTCTTTTCTACCTATCTTTATTTCCATCCCATCTCCAGTCTACTACAGGCAGGTACCTGTGTACCTGCAGCCCAGTGAGCCAGGGGCAGTGAGGAAGGATGAGAATGGCAGGATCCAGGCAGCCTTCTAGGGCTCAGAGGCAGTGGCAAGAAGAGTACAAGGCCTCAAGAGGAAGACAGCTCTAGACCCAAGTGTGGGGCACTGCACTTTACCCTCCCGGCAACCATACTGTCGACATTTCAGAGGAGGAAACTGAGGCCATCCTGTGAGGTAACTGCCATTGGTAAGAGTCAAGGGACAGAGTCTGGGCCTGGCACCCAGCTCTCACTACAAAGTCCATGCACATACTAGCCAGTAGCTAAGGCTCCTCCCAACTGCCGGGTCCCTCCTGGCCCTGTTGCTGGTGTCCCACGAGCAGGGTTGCACTGTCCCCAGTGATGGCGGTGACGCTGCCTGTACCCACACTGCCGGGCTCAGGAGCCAGATGGGGGTTTCGCTGGCCCCTCCACAAACTACCAGCTGTCGTTCCGGTTGCCACCTGTGCTTGTCCTTCCCTGCCACCACCAGCACAGCCACCATTCTGCATGGCTGGCCTCTGGGGTGCTGCGTGCTCTTCCTCACCCCTATGCCCCAAGTGCACGCCCCCACGTGCTCATGAGGTCCCCAAATAGCCCACAGGACTGCTGTCACTTGCTGCTTCAGGTGACAGACAGCTTTTTTCTTGTTCTTTGAGACAGGGTCTCCCTATGCAGCCCAGGCTGGTGTTGAACTTACCGCAATCCTCCTGCCTCAGCCTCCTGAGGGCAGCAGAAAACACATAGTAGGGATACAAAGCACTGGTGTCACCCAGGCTCGCAGCAGCGGATGGGGGTGGGGAGTAGGCAGGGCAGAGTGCGCTTGGCATGGGAGACCCTGGCTCTGTCCAGCTGCATCCTGGGATCTGGGGGTACAGGGGAAGATCACCCCTCATGCAGCCGATAGCTGCCCTAGTGTGAGCCCAGGCAGCTTGCAGGACCCAAGTGCACCCAGAGGCATGAGAAGCGAGCCAAGGTGGCCAGCACAATGCCCTCAACCTGAGCTCACCCAGCCCTGGCTCCCAGCAGCTCGCCTCCAGCTGTCCACCTCTGCCGAGAGACTTTCCCAGACAGCCTGTGCCACAAGCCTCTGCACAGCTCTGCCATGAGGGCCCACGGCCCTGCCATGCAGAACGCTTTCCCCGAGTGCCCAGATCCCCAAGTTCAGTGCTTTGGAACACAGACATCAGGGGAGACCTCTGCCCCGGCTCCAAGTGGGAACACTCAGACCGACGGGACAGTTTTCCTGAGATGCTGCGCCCTCGCTGCCTCACTGGGCTGCCTGAGATCATCGCAGTTTAGTTCACTGTTGTCCTTTCCCATGTCCATGGGGGGGGGCTCTAGGTCACAGAGGCCCAGGGCTGGGCTCAGACTGCAGATCTGGGGCCATGGAGGCACCCAGCCCCTCCTGGCCCCTGGGTAGGCAGAGCCCTCGCGGCCACTGAGAAGGCAGGGGCCTGACGGGGTCTGTGATGAGTGTCCTACCTCACCCTGCTGAAGAGGGCACTGCCAGTGGGAGGGGCCAGCCAGGTGGACAGACACGAGGAGCAAGGTCAGAGGGCAAATGGCCACGGGCTCCCAGTGAGATCGTTGCAGAGCTGGGCCTTCCTAGCGAGCCATTCCTGGGCTCCTCAGACACAAGGACATCTTGGAAGCTTCCAAACAGAAGGGCGTGGTTCATCCCAGTACTCGGGAGGCTGAGGCAGGAGGATCACAGTGAGTTCAAGGCCAACCTGCACTATGTAGTGAGTTCAAGACCAGCCTAGACTACATAACGAGACCCTGCCCAGAAAGAACTGCCCGTGGCCTAAAGGGGTCAGAGGGGCCAGCTTCCCTGCACGCTCTGGCAGCCAGAAGGTGGGGAAAAGTCCGTATTCCAGCCCAGTACCACTTGCCCAGCAGAGGAAGGACAGTGAGAATTGAGAGATGCAAACAACCATCCAAACCAAAAGCAGGGTGGCAAAGTGTGTAGTTCACTCTCTGCAAAGGGGATGTTGGCAGGGCCGGCAGCGTACACTGTGAGGCCTGGTCCACACTAATGAGTGTTCCACACTGAGAGAAAGCCAGACGGCGAACATTGCTGGCTCCATCACACATATCAACTCGGCCAAGCAACAGCACCTGTTTGCAGTCACATGCCAGCCTAGAGTGACTGAGAATGTATTTTCACAGGAGATAAACACTTAAACCAGTAGCCTTTCAGTAAAGTAGATTTCTCTCCAGAGTAGGGGTGGGCCTCATCTAATCAGTTGAAGGCGTTGCAAAGAAAAGACTGAAAAGTTCTGTTCCGCAGAGCCTCTGGACTTAGATTACCATTCTTCCCTTGGTCCCTGGCCAGCCAGACCATCCTCCAAAGCACATGAGCCAGTGCCTTAACATCTCCCCATAGCTGAGTGTGTTGTCTGGGATCCCAGCTACTTGGGACACTGAGACAGGACCATGGTAAATTCGAGGCCAACCCGGGAAACTTAGCAAGGCATTGTTTCAAAATAAAAAGGGTTAGGAATGTAGCTGAGTGGGAGAGCACTTGCCTAACTCATGTGAAGCCGTGAGTTCAATCCCCAATGCAAAAACAAAACAAAACCTCTCAGCCAGGCATGCTGGTGCACATCTGTATTCCCGGTGCCTTTGGAGCCTCAGGCAGGAAGATTGCAAGAAATTCAAGCCCATCCTGGGCAACTTAGCCAACCATGTCTCAAAAATAAAAAATAAAATATGGCTGGGATGTAGCTTAGTGTGAAGGCGGTGGATTCAATCCCAGCATGATTAAAAAAAAAAGATCTTGATAGACAGATGTCACTAGAACCCTAATTAATCCAGGCATAAAGTAGTAAGCGTACAGCAACTAAATGCATAACAAAATCTACTAGATTAAAGACCTTGAAAAATGTAATTATACCAGAATATTTTCCTATTTTATCATAGAATTAGACAAATGTCATAGATTTGGAAAAGTCAGCAAATATGTAAAGGAACTGAATAGTTATACAATTGTCAAACTAGATTTTAGGACTATATAGAAAAGTCCACATCCCTTAAGAAGACACAATCCTTCAGCTCTCATGTCACTGAGACACAATACCCAGCACCCATGACTTCAAGGAGGAGAGGTTTATGCGGCTCACGGTTTTAGGGGACACAGTCCACAGCTGGCTGGCTGCAAAGCAGGAACAGCATGGTGGGAGGGGGTGGGGCAAAGCCGCTTAGTTCTGGGGCCAGGAAATGGAGCAGGGAAACACAAGCCCAAGAGGAAGGGGTGAGGACCGAACACAGACCCTGAGGTCACACCTCCATGGCCACCCAGGCTCACCCAGGTGTCCCTTAATCTAATAAAGCTGACATATCAGAATTAACATAACAAGGTGGCCCTAGAAACTTCATAGAGTTCCCAAACAACGTTCACTCAAAAAAAAGAGGTAAGCAGCACAACCTCAGACCATTGTCCAATGGCACCAAAATCTGTACTGACAGATGACCACCAAACCCTCACTACTAAGTCCAAAAACTGCACAGCGAGTGCAAGGTGGCTGTCACTAGAGACACCAAGAGTGGAGAACACTGCCCCGAAGCACTTGAAGACCTACAGGAAACTGCCTACACGTCAGCTCACATGGTGAAGGCCTCCGGGGCTGTTAAATAGCAATTATCTAGTAAAATTCTATTTATGCAAAATCATTAGTGAGTATGTGGGGATGAGTTGCATGCAGATGTGCGTGTGCATGGGTGTGGGGTGGGAGAGGGTTGTGGTTTCAGGGTACCTATATGTGCAGGAAGTGGAGACTTGTACGTGTCTGTGTGTGTGTTGCTGTGCCATGGTCTGAGCATTCGTGCCCCGCTTCATAAGTTAAAATATAATTACCAGTCAGGCATGATGCCAGATGCCTGTAATTCCAGCACCCTGGGAGGCTGAGGCAGGAGGACTGCAGTTTGAGCTCAGCCTGGGCAACTTAGCAATTTAGCAAGTCTCTGTCTCAAGATAAAAAATAAAAAGGGCCAGGGATGTAATTCAGTACAAAGGCCCCAGGTTCAACTCACCAGTAGCGAAACAAAACAAACAAAAAACCCAATCACCAAGGAGGTAGTATTGAGGCACAGCCTCTGGAGGGCAAAATAAATAGGTCAGAATGAGATTAATGTCCCGTAGAAGGCCAGAGTGAGCCAGTCCCTCCCACCACGGGCAGAAAGGTACCACGAATGAGGAGGTTGCTTCCCAGGCACTGAGCCTGTCAGCGCCTTGACCTGCGACCTCCAGACTGCAGAATCAGGAGCGATTCGTTTAGTTCGCAAGGTTCCTTTTCATGATTAATGTGTTCATGTACCAAATAGCCACGTTCATGTGGGGACCGGTGCATATATGTAACATATCTTAACCATTTCCCTCAGCTTTACCTCCTTCCCTCCCCTCTCCCCTCCTCCCTTCCCCCAGGTCCAGAAAGTCCACTTCTCTGTTTCCTGCCACGTCTCCTTTATTTTACTTTTATTTACTTGTAGTTGGGGCTTCTCACATAAGGGAAACCATGTCATGCTTAACTTCCTGCGTCTCACTTACTCGCGAGTCACGTAGCCTATAGCACTTCCTTTACAGACTGAGACAAGGTACAAATACCACTTCCCAGACCCTTGTTCCAAGGAGATGCAAATGTTCAAGAAACTCAAAGGGAAATGGAGTCAGGTGTAGGGGTGCACATCTGTCCCCCCGCCCTCGGGAGGCTGACACAGGCATTGAACGTTTGAGGCCAGTCTGGACTACACAGGCAGATCCTGGAAGTGTAGGTCCTGAGTTCAATCCCCACCATAACAAAGGAAGGAAGAATGGAGGGATAAAAGGAAGGAGGGGAGGAAGGAAAGGGAAGGAAGGGGAGGGA